CGCTCCGGTTCGCTTCTGGATGATGGAGTTCGATTCGGTATGGTAAAATGGGCCGATAAGTTGTTATTTCAAGCCCAATCACCAAACAGGCCGGATAGTCCATCTTTTCCTTAGTAGTGAAAATTCGATTTTTTTTTTTATAATACAAACTATTACTTTTCTTTTTCTCTTTTTTTTTTTATTATTGCGCAATTTTTATTATCATCACTATCAAACTATATTTTTTCGCTCTTATATAATATTATGTAGTTGAATTAGCTGGATCATTTTGTAATTTTCTAACAACATGCTTTATTTAAATTTTTTTAAAAAAACAGAATATCCTCTATCTAAAGCATTGAATTGTATTTTTTTTCCTTGTATGTGGGTTCCATAAAGGCATAAAAAAAACTCAATTGGAAAAGTAAGCAGCTTTGACGTTTTCCTACCAAAAATTATCCAAGGAAGGGATAATTAATAAAAAAAATGATAAAAGAATTACATAAAGAAAATGTGGATGTGTATATATATAATGTATTCGAAACGTGTAACATTTTTAAAAATGGTAGATTTTTTTTTGATAACGGAAGACCCCTACCTACTACCCTAAATTTTAAAAAATAGTAGATTTGGTTCTTATCCTTTTTCGGGCACATGATGGCCTATCTCATGATTCATTACTGCGTATTGCAATTTGCATGGCTTGCAATCCACACTCTCCTCCCCCATCAAGCAAACCCTGTAAAATCGTATAACCTCAAGCATCTTTCAAACCTTATCAAAACCAAACCTATAATATGTATTTATATATATATATATGATGTAAAATCATGGATTAAAATATTTGTTTAAATGAATTGTGAATTATATTTTTCGAGAACTTTGCATAAATGTAGACCCCGTTTCCCCATTGGGAATCTTAATGTAACTCCACGCGGTTGGGGTTCACCTTGGAAATACTTAATCCCAAAACCTTAGCTTATAAGCCATCTCTCTTATAAAAACTGCAACTTTCTTGCATTTTCCTTATAAAAATTGCAACTTTCCTGGCATTTTCCTCCCAACCAAACAGGCCTCGACCCCCACCCCTAATTCATTATTCAGTTCCCACAAAAAGATCATTGCTTGTCGGTCGCATTAACTTCATAATCTCGTGTGATTAAACAAGCAGCCGGCCTGATTACAAAATGTTAAAAAAGGTGAGGAGAAAAGTCAAAGTCTTGGTCACCAAACCCTTTAAAAGACCCAAGAAACCCTCCAAACCTCCACCAGAACCTCCTCCTCTTCCTCTTCCTCTTCCTCTCCCTCCGCCGAAATCACCATCTCCGCCGCTTTCTCCGTCGCCGGCGACGATGACGATGAGAAGAAGGAATTCTCCGTTTCTATTTCCGAGCACTGAATCCTCTGTCTTGCCCGATCCGTCTCGCTTCTTCGCTCACGATCTCCTCTCGAACCCTCTTCCTACGAACTCGTTCTTCCAGAATTTCACCCTTAAAAATGGCGATCAAGCGGAGTATTTTCATCCGTATCTCGTCAAGCCCTCGGCCTCGTCTCTTTCGATCTCGTACCCATCACTGTTCGACAGCCCAGCTTTCATTTACCAGGTCTTCAATGCAGATATCATCGTTTCCGGGTCGGACGGACCCGACCCGAATGCCAGGAAGACCCATTTGATCTCCTCCTTCAATGATCTCAGCGTAACCCTAGATTTCCCTTCTTCGAATCTCAGGTTCTTCCTCGTCAGAGGGAGCCCATTCATCACCTGCTCCGTCTCCAACAATTCTCCGGTAACAATCTCCACAATTCACGCGGTTCTTTCGTTTTCCGGCAATCATTCATGCACGAAGTACACTGCTGAGCTCAACAATGGTCAGACATGGTTGATTTACGCCTCTTCGCCGATTAATCTGAGCAAGGACGGTGTTTCTTCGATTACCTGTGGTGGGTATTCGGGTATAATCCGAATCGCCGTGTTGCCCGGATCGGGTCCGGGGTTTGAATCGGTTCTCGATCGATTCAGCAGCTGTTACCCAGTTTCCGGCGACGCGGTTATCACCAAGCCCTTTTGCGTTGAGTACAAATGGGAAAAGAGAGGATGGGGAGATTTGCTCTTGCTCGCTCATCCTCTGCATCTGAAGCTTTTATCCGGCGATGATTGCTCGGCCACTGTTCTTGACGATTTCAGGTACAAAAGCATCGACGGAGATTTGGTCGGAGTCGTCGGAGATTCCTGGGTTTTGAAGCCAGATCCTGTCTCGGTAACTTGGCACTCGATCAGAGGAATCAAGGAAGAATCATACGACGAGATCATCTCTGCTCTCGTCAGAGATGTGAACGCCTTGGATTCATCGGCTCCAGTGACGAACGAATCGTATTTCTACGGGAAATTGATCGCGAGAGCTGCGAGGTTAGCTCTGATAGCGGAAGAAGTGTGTTTCCTTGATGTGATTCCAAAGATCAGAACTTACTTGAAGAACATGATCGAGCCATGGTTAGATGGAACATTCCAAGGGAATGGTTTCTTGTATGATCCCAAATGGGGAGGTATAATCACGAAACTAGGATCAAAAGATGCCGGAGCCGATTTCGGTTTCGGGATCTACAACGATCACCACTATCATCTGGGTTACTTCCTCTACGCCATTGCTGTACTCGCAAAGATCGATCCTTTGTGGGGCAAGAGGTACAGAGGTCAGGCATACTCTCTAATGGCGGATTTCATGAACATGGGCAGAAGGGCTAGTGCCAATTACCCGCGTCTCCGGTGCTTCGATCTCTTCAAGCTCCATTCCTGGGCAGGAGGTTTGACCGAGTTTGCCGACGGCAGAAACCAAGAGAGCACGAGCGAGGCCGTGAACGGGTACTACTCGGCCGCCTTGCTGGGCTTAGCCTACGGAGACTCACACCTCGTCGCGACGGCCTCAACGCTCGTAACGCTCGAGATTCACGCGGCACAGACATGGTGGCACATCGGAGAAGACGAGGAGGACCAGATTCACGTTTACCCGAAGGAGTTCGTGTCGGAGAATCGAGTGGTGGGGGTGTTGTGGGCGAACAAGAGGGACAGTGGGCTGTGGTTTGCTCCAAAGGAGTGGAGAGAGTGTCGGCTGGGGATTCAGCTGCTGCCGACCCTACCTACTACCCTAAATTTTAAAAAATAGTAGATTTGGTTCTTATCCTTTTTCGGGCACATGATGGCCTATCTCATGATTCATTACTGCGTATTGCAATTTGCATGGCTTGCAATCCACACTCTCCTCCCCCATCAAGCAAACCCTGTAAAATCGTATAACCTCAAGCATCTTTCAAACCTTATCAAAACCAAACCTATAATATGTATTTATATATATATATATGATGTAAAATCATGGATTAAAATATTTGTTTAAATGAATTGTGAATTATATTTTTCGAGAACTTTGCATAAATGTAGACCCCGTTTCCCCATTGGGAATCTTAATGTAACTCCACGCGGTTGGGGTTCACCTTGGAAATACTTAATCCCAAAACCTTAGCTTATAAGCCATCTCTCTTATAAAAACTGCAACTTTCTTGCATTTTCCTTATAAAAATTGCAACTTTCCTGGCATTTTCCTCCCAACCAAACAGGCCTCGACCCCCACCCCTAATTCATTATTCAGTTCCCACAAAAAGATCATTGCTTGTCCCCCCCTGCCGATACTGCCGGTGTCGGAGACTCTGTTCTCGGACGTGAGGTTCGTGAAACAGCTGGTGGAGTGGACGTTACCGGCGCTAGCGAGGGCGGACGCGGGCGAGGGATGGAAAGGGTTCGCTTACGCGTTAGAGGCGGTGTACGACAAGGCAGGAGCGATGGAGAAGGTTCGAGGGTTGAATGATTTCGATAATGGGAATTCACTGAGCAATCTCCTGTGGTGGGTTCACAGCAGAGGCAGTGGTGAAGATGACGAAGAAGAAGATGGTTGCTTGGGTGACAAGCATTGTTGGTTCCGTCACTATTGTTAGTGTGTGGCTCGTGGCTTCGTCATTTCAGTATTTAACTTGGAAATCACATCGTCGCTGAAATAAAAACCACCAATTTCGTTTGAATCCTTATTTGCAAAAAAAAAAAAAAAAAGAAATAAAATTTGAATTTAAATTTTTGGTGGGTTGGGTTTCCTACTTTTTTTTTTTATAAGAATGTTGTTTTTATCCCGTGTAAAAATGAAAGCGATGGGGAAACCCAGGTGAGATGGTTAAGGGGTATGGCGAGAAACCATGAGGTATGGGGCTATCGCCTCTTTAAACTCTCACATGTTGCATGTTAGTTACGGTTGATTTACCTTCCGCGTGTGTTACAGGTTCGTGCGCGTGAGTTTGGGGTTTTTTTGGTTTGCGATGTCGTCCTGATGCCGTTCTCATCCGGTCTATTGGACTGTGAGACGTTACGGTGTCCGGTATCCGATCCGAAGGGTGGTAGGGCAGTTTCCCAATGTATCCAAAAAAAAATGAAAGCGATGGTAGATTTGGGATGACGAGGAGGAGGATAAGCCTTTGCATTGTCGTATCTTATTATATTACAAAAATAAAACTTGGCATCTTTAGAAAATCCGCGTGGTTGATGTGCGTGCCATATGATTCATTCTCTTTGCCACCTTTGGGCCCACAGCCCACGTGGCGACTGTTAAAATTCTCAATTAGTGGTGTAAATTTGAATTTTCTAAGATTAAATTAACCTTTTTTTAACCGATCCAATCAAAATGGGGCCTTTTTATACGAATTATCACATAAATGAATAGAAATATCACAAGGCTTTTTCAATATTAAATTCGGATTCTCACACAATTAATTATAAAATCAGTTTTCCCGATACGATGTCGTTTTTGCTGATTGATTGCCTCGGAAGCAGGGGAGGAGCCCAGAAGCTGCAGACGAAATAAATAAATAAATATTTAAAAATTTCAATAAGCAGAGGTACAGAGAGCGGAACACCAATACGAAGCAACAGCGAAGAACACGAGGGAGAGAGAAAACAGTACAAACATTCCAAACTTCCGATCATTTCACGCCGGTGATGGCGTCGCCGCCGGCGACTCAGAATCTCGATCGTTTCCGTACGGTGTCCGAGATCGAGGAGGTTGGACCCGCCGAATCGGAGGGAATGACATTGACTCACGGAGTGAACGGCTTAGCCTCTGCCGAACAGATTCGCCGGCGAGTCTCCCGGAAGTTTTCGGTCGACGGGAAGCCTCGAATTTGCCGGCAGCAGTCCTTTGGTCGGGATATCGGGCACGCTGCGGCGGAGACGTATCTGATTACTCGGCTCAGCTTCAAGCTTCTTCGTTACCTCGGGTACTGATCTCGTTTCATCTTCATCCTGTTACAGGCTTTGAACACTGTCGCGCGTAGTTGTTAATTAGTTTTTGAAAATTGTTGCTTGCACTTGAGCGAATTCATACAAATCGAAATCGCAGCTGCTTTTTTTCCCCCCTAGTCAGAAACTGCAAATGGACTGGAAACTTTGCTCAAGTTTGAGCAAATTTCACAACTTTAACTTGTCTGTTGAAGTTGATAAATGGGACAAATGTAAGATTGTTTTCTTGCCAAAAAAGAAGAAGAGGGGTTTGAGGTTTTCATTTTCCGAATCTACCAGAAATTTGGTTTTAATTGTGAATTCTTGTTCAGGGTAGGCTACCGGTGGATCACAAGGTTACTTGCTCTTGCTTGTTACGCGATGCTGCTGATGCCTGGCTTCCTTCAAGGTTTCAAATTGTTGTATTTGCTGGCAATTTCACAGAGAAAGGAGCCTTCTTTTTAGTTAGAACCCGGGTTTTTATAGGATGAAAAAGCGTTGTAGGCAATATTGGTAACCGGGTTCGAGTTTTTCTGCAGTTGCATATCTTTATTTTTTCTCAAGCAATGTCCGGAGGAGCATAGTGTATGGAGATCAACCAAGGAATAGGTATGTGATCGTGTGATAGGAACAACATTTTGCCATTCCTCCCCCCCATCACTCCAGCCTACGATGTTTTGAGTATCAGCTCATTTTAAATGCCTTAGACCACTGACATATTCGATGGATGGATATATCAGGTTAGATCTGTACTTACCGGAACACAATGACAGCCCGAAGCCTGTTGTGGTTTTTGTGACTGGTGGAGCTTGGATTATTGGGTGGGTACCTTCTTTAAGTCACCTTTCTCTCTCTGCTCTGCTCATCACTGAAGTTCTCCTGATTACCTTTCCTCTGTTTTCCCGTGTAGTTCTATCGGAAAACTTCTTTATGCTTGCTTTAGATCATTGGTTTTCATCTTCTAACACCTAATGAAGTTTGTGGTCATGATTCCATATTTTCCAGGTACAAAGCTTGGGGTTCACTCTTGGGACTGCAGCTGGCAGAACGAGAAGTCATTGTGGCATGTGTTGATTACAGGTAATCGAAGCTTTTCCATTCTTGGAAACGTTTGGAATCTAAAAGAACTTAATACAATGCATGGTATTAGTATCTATTACCAAACGACTCCCTTCCCGTTGTCTTTGCTTGCAGAAACTTCCCTCAGGGAACAATTAGTGATATGGTCAGGGATGCATCTCAAGGGATCTCTTTTATCTGCAATAACATCTCTGCATTTGGAGGTGATCCTAATAGGTTGGAACCGCCTTGACCTGGTTTATTTTAGGTCGAACCTTTCCTACCTTCCATAGCCTCTTTCTTGAAATGAGCTGTTTGTGTTTGTGTTGGCTAGGATCTATTTGATGGGGCAATCAGCTGGTGCACATATTGCTGCATGTGCTCTCTTGGAACAAGCTGTTCAAGAATCGCGAGGAGAGACCGTCTCTTGGAGCATTTCTCAGATAAAAGCTTACTTCGGTTTATCCGGAGGGTATTTTCTACACTTGCCATACTATGAAGGACATATAAGTTCTGAAAAATATGCTCCAGGATTTCCCCTTGATCTTTCTCTGCTTCCTCTTCTTAGAAATGATAGCTGTTGAACACATGATGTTTGTTTAGAAAGCAGATCTTTTTCTTGTTGATTCTTACGTCAGAATCTCTCCATTTCAATCTTCAACAGGTACAATCTGTTCAACTTGGTAGATCACTTCCATAACCGGGGCCTGTATCGCTCAATCTTCCTAAGGTACTTTGCATTTGTTCGTCGATCAAATTCTTCCTACGCTTTTTGACTGATAAGTTCTGAATGTTAAACTTACCTTAATCCCTTTCTCGACCGTTCATCTTTGTTGATCAACTTGCCAGCATAATGGAAGGAGAAGAGTCCTTTGAACAATTCTCTCCTGAAGTAAGATTGAAAGACCCAAGTGTTAGAAAGGTTGCATCTCTCTTGCCTCCTGTCATACTTTTCCATGGAACTGCTGATTACTCCATACCGTCGGATGCAAGGTTAAATCATTTCTCCTCTCCAACCACAAGTATTTCACTTCAGAATCATATATATAGGCTACGGAAACCTTCTCTCATCGATCTTCGGGTTTTCCTTTTTGCAGCAAAACTTTTGTAGATGCTCTTCGAGCAGCCGGTGTTCAAGCCGAACTGATTTTGTACAGCGGAAAGACGCATACTGATTTATTCCTTCAGGTAAATGGAAAAAGAAAAGTTCAACATCTCCATCCATGAGCCACATCACTGAATCAGTATCTACTTAGCCACCAAGAACAAAATGTTTCATATCTGTTGTTACTCTCGAATTACTCGAAACACACTCAATGCTGTTGAAACACGCATTTGCAGGATCCCCTGCGAGGTGGAAAAGACGAACTCTTTGACCAAATAGTCTCTGTAATACACGCTAATGAGGGCGAGGCACTAGCCAGAGATGCAGTGGCACCTCGGAGGAAGCGGCTTGTACCAGAGTTGTTACTGAAACTGGCCCGCGAGGTCAGCCCCTTCTGAACAATCTCATGTTCTGCCTTTAGTGTGGACCATGAATCAGTAGTTTGGTTCGTATCGCAATGTTGTCATTATTACCGCTGTTGTTTGCTGTCTTTTGTTGTCATTGTCGTTGCACAAGGCCGAGACTTTCCACCTCTGATCCAAAATATAAAACAGGAAGAGAATTTGCATAATATTATAATGAAAATCTCTGGATATTACAAGTTCAACTCAAATGGCAACGACAATGTCTTGGAAGCAAGAGAGAGTAATACAAATCTTGAAGAGAACGACCAAGCAGTGATCATTCTTCTTATTATTGTGACTACACTTATCTTTAGATCATGGATTTGGCAATCTTGAACCATTCAGTGTGGAAAGCTCCATCCATGTCAACCCTCTCATATGTGTGAGCTCCAAAGTAGTCTCTTTGAGCTTGAACCAGATTCGCTGGCAACCTCTCCCTCCTGTACGAGTCGAAGTATGCCAGACTGGCTGACATTCCCGGTGTGCTGATTCCCGAGTTTATGGCCAGGGACACTACTCTTCTCCAAGCGGATTGCCTCTCGATGATCTCCTTTGCAAACTCGGGATCGACCAGAAGGTTCGGCAGTTCGGGGTTCCTGTCATAAGCCTGCTTGATCCTGTCCAGGAATATGGCTCTGATGATGCATCCTCCTTTCCAGATCCTTGCCAGTTCACCTAGCTTCAAGCCCCATCCTTTCTCGAGGCTCTTGGCTCGGATCAGATTCATTCCTTGCGCATAGCTACAGATCTTGGACGCATAAAGAGCCCGCCTCACATCGTCGATCAGTTGTTTCTTGTCCACAGCTTGGTCAGTCAAGATATCGCCAAACCCGCCTTCTTTGAAGACTTTAGCGGCTTGGACCCGTTCCTCTTTCAGCCCGCTGAGGAACCTTGCGTCGAGAGATGATTCGATGGTGGGAGCTGGGACTGATAGCTCAGCAGCTTGCTGTACCGTCCATTTCCCGGTACCCTTCATCCCGGTTTTGTCCAAGACTTTGTCAACCAGATACCCATCGCCCTTATCATCCTTGATCTTGAAAATATCGGCTGTGATCTCGATCAAGAAGCTAAGAAGCTCGCCTTTGTTCCATTCAGAGAAAACGGTATGGAGCTCGTCGTTCGATAACTTCCCGACGGATTTCAGGACATCGTAAGCCTCTGCAATCAGCTGCATGTCACCATACTCTATTCCATTGTGAACCATCTTGACAAAGTTACCGGACCCGCCTTTCCCGATGTAAGTGACGCACGGACCGCTGTCCGGAACCTGAGCTGCGACCTTCAGAAGAATGTCTTCGATATACTTGTATGCCTCGTAGGAACCTCCGGGCATCAGAGAGGGTCCATTCCGGGCACCCTCTTCGCCGCCCGAGACTCCCATCCCGAGGTAAAGCAAACCCTGCTCGGTCACGGCCTTCTCTCTCCTCTCAGTGTTCTCATACCATTCGTTACCACCATCGATGATGCAATCTCCCTCTTCCATGTAGGCAGAGAGGGTCTTAATGGTCTGATCGACCGGTGCACCTGCTTTTACGAGCATGATTATAACACGAGGCTTCTGAATCGAGTTGACGAAAGACTCGGGGTCATGGAATCCGTACACGGGCAGGTTCCCTTCTCTCTTGGCTCGTTCGACAGTCTCGTCGACTTTGGAGGTCGTTCGGTTGTAGACAGAGATGGGGAAGCCTTTCTCGGCGATATTGAGAGCCAGGTTTTGGCCCATCACAGCGAGTCCGGCCAGGCCGATTCTTGTAGGTGCTACAGCCATCGTCTTCTCCCTCTCTGCGAGAAATTCCGTAACAGATGATTCATAAGCTCAAAAACCACAGATCTCGAAAAGGTTGGATGCAAAAAGTTTTAAGATTATGTATAAACAATTGATTCTTCAAGTGGATGAAAACACAAAGCTACAATATCCAAAGGGTCAACCATGAAATCTGCAATATGCAAACCAAAGTGTGCAGCTTTCAAGAGCCAGATGATTCTTAAAAGCGGTTTCCAGCCAAGAAAAATCCAAACTTTCGAACCCTAACAAGATCCCAGACTCCCAGTGAAGAAAATGGACAAACTCTTAGCTTGATTTCATGGAAATCATCTAACCAGCGTCAGATTCCCGAATTCGAACCCCTAAACGAAGCCAATGAACCTTCAAACGTGTACATGCAAATGCCGGACAGAGCTCAGGCGAGACTACGATTCAACAGATACGCCCCAAAAGGTTACATGGACGAATCGAATCCTAGTAGACATCGACGGAAACGATCAGACCACTCTCGTCCACATTCATCGGAGATCTAAGATAACAGACCATAGGAAATATCGAACGAAACCCACATCGGAAATTACGACACAAATCGCCAGATCCTAGATTACCCAGAAGCGGAAATCAAATAAAGCTCCAAACTTTTCCCCAAAAAACAAAAAGGCAGAACGTCCAAACAAAAAAGCGCATGCTCTGTTTGAAAAAAAGCTAAGAATTTCCAGATCCCCAAACCTGAATTATGCGGAAATGGACTCGAGAGGCTCCAAGAAAGTTCAATGAGGGGAAAAGGATCAGAATCGCAGGAGATTGCAAGGAAAATAAATCAATGGAAGCTGAAATCAGATATATAGCGTTAGAAGGGTCTGGGGTCTCTGCATTTCACAAAGGAGAGATCTTTGTTATTTATGTAATGATGTGTTCTCCAAGAAGAATGTCAAAATTGGCCACTCTGCGTTAGGTGAGACACCGTGGAACGTGGTTGGTTGGTAGTTGTGAGTTCTTTCTTTCTTTCTTTTTTTCATTTTACCTTTATTTTTCCAAATCAAAGATTAAAAAAAACACACAATGGTTTCATTTAACGTTTGATATATCGCATTTGATGGTTATTTTTGGATTTGGAGGTTTTTTTTTATTTTTTGCAACCAGCTGTGCTTGGTGAAATAGCTGAAACAATGCTGGATTGTCATTATACATGATCCATTTGACATCATCAGTCACAAAACCAGGTCAAATACAGATTTAGAACCTTCGAAATCAACCTCTATGTTCTGACCTTTGAATTTCACGTTCATCGTCAAATAAAGACACCCCCCCCCCACCACCACAAAAAGGACTTCCCACCTGAAAAATCAATGTTATTTGCCACCAACCCAATTGGCTTGGATCAGCATTATATCATATTATTTGTCACAAACATGAACCACAGCTTCGTATTAACTCATAAAGACAAAAGTAAATGTCGTGGGAGAGGAAGATAGCTTCTGACATACAAAGGGTTTCTTACACATAAACTAAGGAGGAAGTGGCAGTGATTTGGTAGCTCGAGCCTTTTGCTCTTGAGTTACAAATGAATGCACCAAAACTAAGACCATATAGACAAAAATTTCAGTTGGGATGCCCAAATGTGAAAAGGAAAAAAAAAATGTGATTCAGTTCTTTTTCGTGTTACCTGATCCTCTTGTTCTTTTGGAGGTTTTGTTTCTGTTTGTGTGTCTCTAGAGGCCAAAATTGCACATCTGGACAAATTCCATTTCGCCATCGACGTATTTGGTCCAGAGAGACTTGTACTGGTTCATAGCAATGTCAAGCCATGGTTTCATGTTCCCGTTGTAATGGATCACTGCTGCGTTTCTGATCTCGTCCATTCCCACGCTTGGATTGTAGCCGAGCCCCATAACATGCCATGCTTTGTCCAGTGATTTCGTCTTTGAGTAGAAGGTGATCAATCCCGGAGGTAGAGTTCCTACTCTCCAGAGTGATTGGTCCTCATTCTGCTTGAAAAGACACATCCATGAAAGGTTCAGTTCAAATCATTCAAGGAAATAGAAGAACAAATACCTGGAATCACACACCTGCAGACCAGTTTATTGTTGTACAGATTTGCATAGAAAACAATGGCAGATTTCCAGGAAGAAGAACAGGATTTAGCAGTTTCATGCCAAGTACACCTAAGTTATTCCAACAATGCTAAGGGGGCGGCTTTCAGATTTTTACAACTCTTGAAATGACCCGCATATTCCTTTGCATTGCAAATGAATCAGTCACATATTTCATATATATTGAATTCTTTTACTTACCAAGTTCTGCCAGTAGTGGTACTGCTCGGTGCATTTTTCGCGCCTCCAAGCATCGAGGTCGAATATGTTCATTCCAAAAGCCCAAGCACATGAGTTTGGGTTGAAGCTCTCCTTGATCAAAGGATGGCTGAAATTTAGGTATTGAGCATATCGATGGAAAGAGCCAAAACATGTCTCCACAGCTCCATTCACTTTGCCATCCAAGTTAATCTTCCATAAACCAGTCAAGTCCTTTTGCACCACAACATCATCATCCAAGAACAACATCTTACGGAGCTTTGGGTACATCTCAGGCAAATAGAATCTGAGATGGTTCAACATCGACAGATGTTTCGCGTTCTTGAACTTGAGATTATGGGCGTCCATGGTCGAGTTCTCAGCCTGGTTCTCAAAGTAGAATTTCTGCAGCTTGGCAGATTCGAGCTGCCTCAAAACCGGTACATACGAAGAGTTCAAGAACTTAAAATCCTCAACCATCTTGATCTCGATGTGGGCACCACGGCCCAGTGGACGCATATTAAACCAGACATTCATGGCTGCGAGGTTCATCCGATCGGTCACCACGTGAAAGACATGCTTCCATGGCTCTTCCGCATTCATCACCACTGATCTCACCACAACCGACACAGCAATCACATTGTCGGAGAAAATGGCATAGTGGTAAAGGCTCGGATCCTCCACAGCCGGGTCAGGTGGAGCCTCCTTGTACTTCTCAGGATGAGAAATCCTCTCTTCTACAAGCCTCATGGCCAAACAGTGAATACTTTTAGGGACAGATTTTGCAGCAATCAAGCTGGCAACAGTGCCACTTTTCTTGGCCTTAGTCAACTGTTCATGGACGGCAAAGATTGTGTCTTTCAGCTTCTGGATTTTTAGCTGGGTATCATAGCTTTCCTTCGACTCAGCAATCATCATCCTCGCTGTTTTAACCTTGTCCTTCACTTCTTTCTCAACCTGTCGTAACGTATCCTCCTCGACAGCGTTACCATTTTCAGAGAGGACAGATTTGAGGCCAGGTTTTGACTGCAAATCCGAGAAGTTAATAGCCAGATCTTCGAACAACTTCAGCTGCTTCGAAGCATCAACCTTCAGCTTCCTGGCGTAAGCCGCGTATGCATTCACCAGCGTTAGGTGATCAGTTGCTTGCTTGTGTATCAGATCCACCCGTGTCTTCAATGGGTCCGATTGCAATGCCAAAAACGTCCTGTGCATATATGCGCTTCCCGTATTTGGTAGTGTCTAAGCCACAAGAACAAGAAAATCCCACAAGCAATTTTTGGAGAAAATCAATCACCAGAACTTCGGTTCACACGAATAACAAATACAACACAAGCTACGGAAACGAAAGGAAAGTTATAAAATTGCACAGATTACTTCAATTAATTCGACGACGTTCGCATGACAAAAAAAATCTAGCGTAAAAGAGATGAATCTAATACAGAAATGAGCATAGAGATTCTGAGATTTGCGACGCTTACAGGATCCTGATGCTGACGAGACGAGTTGAGGACGACAGAGAACGTCGCGAGGAAGAGAAGAGAGAACATGGCGGAGACGAAGATCCGGTACGAGAACAAACCGCGAAGGCCGGCGGATGAGCCGCCGCCGCGGCCTCCTCGGAAAGCCACCGCCATTTCCTCCGACAATCTACTCAACTAATACTCTCCTCCTTCACCGATCGATCTTTCGCCGGACCCAGATCTCAATTCGATTCCTTTGTTCCTCTGTTGAGAAGAAAGATGAAGATGATGATGATGAAAGGAGACCACTTTAGGAGTGACGGATAGATCTCAACATGTTAGAGCAGAAAACACGTAAATAAAAAAAAAAAACAATAATAAATAAACAAATATTATTCACTAAAATACTCAAAGTTGGAGACGACCTAATAAGATCTTGTTCCGCGTCGGTGCATATTAGAAAAGGATAAATTACATTTCACTCCCATTATTTTTATATTGCTTTATATTTAGACCCTAAACTTTTGATGTACTCAGGATATACCTCCTACTAAATTGTTGGGATCAGCTTTTTTATTTTATTTGGAGAATTTATTACGGAAAGGGGATTAATATTTCTTCAAATCAAATACGTTATGAAATTTTATTTTTACATATAATTCTTAGAACTGTGGGGATGTTGTTCAATTTTAGAATACTGGACAAAAATAGTGCACAAAAGTTTAGGGGTTTAAATAGAATTTCATTAAAACAAGAAATTCCCCCACGAGTTCATTGATTTCGTGAAAACCATTTGATTGGTTAAAATCTCAAGAATGCGGGTCCCGCCTAAACGACACAAGAAGGAGTCGTTTTCAGTGGAAGTGACAACGTCGTCGTTTTGATCCTTTTCTATTTCCTTTTGTTTTTTTTTTTAAATCTCGTTTGTTTTTGTTTTTTTCTTAGGGTTTGGCAATTTCTTGGTAACCCAAAGAGAGGCTTTAACGTTAACGTTAAAGTCTCGGATTTTCTCGACAAAAATTCGTTGGCGGAAATTTTCTCGCGAAATTTGGTTTCTGAAGGTTCGACCGTTCTCCAGTTTCTTCATATCACTGCGACTAACGCACGGTATTTATGGATGAACATCATATTTTCGTATTAAATCTGGCAGGAGTTTGAATGAGTTTGAGAATTTTCAATCTCGTCATGTCCATACTCTTAATCTCTTCCCATCGCCTTAAATTTTTATGATTGAATGTGAGTTTTGGACCTTAGTGGAGAAATTTGGGGAATCTCTTGTTTCCTTTAGGAAATCTTCTGGATCCCTGGGAATGTAAATGAACGGATCACTGTGTTTGCGCATAGTTTCCATGTTACTGTTTGGTTGAGGTGAAGGTTTTCCCATCACTCTGCTTAAAAAGCGTTCGCATTTGTATCGTTGAGGGTTGTGCATCTTGTGTCCCGTGCCTAGAATCTTTCGTTGTTGATCATAGGGGTAGGGTCATTCGGCATAGATTGTGGTAGATTCAGAATTGATGCTTGCGTGTGTTGTGTGCACAAAAATGGACAGGCTGTGATGACGAAAACCAGGCGTGGGCTTTGCCTTCGGTTACCGAATTAGCCTTGAGGCATGATTCATGAATGATTTTTGTCTCGTCTCCATAGCTTTGTTATAGTCCATAAACATTGGTTCAGGTATGCGCATACAGATCGGTTGAGTATGGTGCATGCTTTTTAAGCTCTGTCTCTTTCAAATATACGTGTGTGCGCATCTCTGATGTCGTCACATTGCTTTGTGGTAATCCCTTTGAACAATGTATTGCATCCTGTTTTATGTTTACGTCTTCTGCACTAATGGAGATCCTATATATTCATGTATTATGAGATGTATAAAATCCTCACGGCCATTGCTTGAACTCACCCTTCACATCTATGGTTGATACACAGTTGAACGGTATGAAAAGGATACCAAAAGTTTACATGCTTAATCACCTGCACAGCGTGTATGTAGTGAGCAATCATTGAAGAAAACGTTTTGCTCATATTGGTTAAATCATGGCATATAGAAGACTAACAATCTGGTGAGCGCAATGTTGTGGAATTTCATGTGCTGTTGATGACAGTGGACACCGACCAACTTCTTTTGTCTTTTGTTTCAGTTTCTCCCCACCTAATGCCACTCCATCCTCGCTTGACCAGACATTTTTTTGGCACATCAAAATGTGTAAAAAGTATATCCCACTAAAATATGTTCACTGGTAGATAACTGTATACCTTTTTTTTTTTGTCCAGGTTAGAAATGATTGGTCCATTTTCATGATTCCTTGTTCGTGCATCTCTAGAAGTACCAAGACCAGTTATCCAAAATGGCATTCCT